AAACTACAAAACATAGCACTGGGCAAAGACAAGGACTCCTCGCGAAGATGCAATGAGCAAAAGCCAGGGTCAAGGTGTATTAAAAGACTGATCTAAAAGAGCATGCAAAGCTCACAGCTGCACAACTTTTCCATGATTGCTATATTTAGAAGGAAAAACGTAAGTCCACAATCTACTGTTTCAGTGCTGAGAAACAGCAGTCTCATTTCTGTTCCCATGCCTCCACCCACATTTTTGCTATCACATAATTTTCATACTGCCTTATTTACCAATATGTTATTAAAACTACATACAATTTCAAGCGCTGTATTTGAAAATTACAGGCAAGAAAATAATGATTTAAGGTTTCTGGAGCATAATGACACATATTACAATATGTTATATACAGTATCACAGATTATACCCAACTGCAAATGTAAGGGATATTCATACATACTGCAACTTTCAAATCAAGAGGGTTTATAATTCCTATCAAGTAATGGACTGTATTAATTTTTCTATTCCAAGAATTATACTGGTGTTTAAGGCAGAAGTAATAAAAGTAATAAAACCATTATACAAAATACATATTCTACATTATAAGTTAATGAGATGAGTAATTTTTTGTTGCTAGTTCTATACTCAAAACATTCTTTTATTATTTTCCAAGCAATTATGTAAAAGCTACGGCTATACTGCAATCTAGAATACTAAAAATCATTAAAGATTTTTTATTTTTAATATTATGCAATAGATTATCTTAATAAACATGAAAGCACACTGAAATTATGATAACAAGAATTTATGCCTTCTACAACAATAAACCAGAAAATTCATTGTAGGAATTACTGAAAGTACCATGTGCGGATGGAGCGAAGGGCCTTTGGAAAATCACCGTTAGTGAAAATTAAAGTATCAGTCACACAAATTAAAATGTATCCAAATGTACAGCGTTTTCCACTATCTGTAGGTCTGCAATACTGCAGCCAAAGTTCCTCTGAACTCTTTCCTTGGCAGAGGTTATAAGGTCAGTGTGAATATACGCTACTTAGACACACAGTAAAGGCACTGCTTTGGAGAACCCCTGGGTGTTCTCCTATCACGGGTCACCTGCTGGCAATAAAACTTTGGTCACTCGGGCTGTCTCATCCGAGATTTCTGTGGTTTCTTGCTTTCATGAAAAAAGAGTCACGAAAATCTTAGCTATCTTCTTAGGGTGTGTTCATACACAATATAACACCATTGTGAATAATGATGAGACAAAACTGTTCTGAAAATGGACTCTTGCAACTAATGGAATAATTTTAAATCACTTTGATTAGCATAATCTGATAGAAATAAATATGCTAGAAATAACTATTAACCCTTCCTCTGCCACTTAAACTCACCAGGATACAAAATTAGTATTTCTGGTTTGGACTGAGGACGGTAGTGGGATTTTCTTTTCTTTTCTTTTTTTTTTTTTCTTTTCTTTTCTTTCATCTTCTTTTGGCAAAAAGCAGAGATCAGGTGTAAGAGAAAAAAATTGAACAATCCTTGCCATACTACAATACAGCAGAGTTGGCACCATATGATGATACCATACTGAAAATATGCTCTAAAAATTGTGAAAGAATTCTAAAAGATTCTAAAAATAGGGTTGAGCTTTTAATAAAGTCGGCGATTATATTTGTTTCCCATCTGTTCCTGGTAGCACAAAGTGATCCCTGGTTTCACACTGCAAAATATTATAATGGATATGGATACCAGCTTCCTGCTTTCATCCCCTCACTGCTTCAGTCATTGATACCTCCTGAGTACTGGAGAACAAGGGATTATACTCTGTGCGCTAGAAATGGAGGGGCTGCAGATACGGTACAGCAACGGTGTGCAAGCACATTCACTACACAGTATTTCCTGGTTTCATCAATTTACAAAGACTACTTTTACTGATTATTTTTCACATAATACAAAACATTTGCTGAACATTTTTTTCACTCTTACAACCAAGGAGTTCATACAAACCACCAATAATGTATCTGTAAAAACAACTGTTCTCTTCTACGAACACTGGCGAGGTTTTATACAAAGAAAAAGGAGAAAGTTTTTAATTACTGTAATGGTAATGAACACAGAAGCCAGGTCAGACCAAGGATCTCTCAAGCCTCACATCCAGTCTCTGAAAGTGGCTGCTTTCCCCTCTGTGTATGAAAATGCTATTTAGACTAAACGTTGCATACCTGCCTCTCCCAGTGATGATGACAACACATTACACTACTCATGACGTTTGGTTAGGCATTCTGAAAAGCATTATAAATCAAAAGTGCTCCCAAATGATGGGCTTCATAATTGGATCTGTAACTTAATTGTGTAAGAAGTTAAGCAGCCAGAAAGCTTAGAAGAGGGCCACAGGGCCCTATACGTTTATTTAAGTGGCATTGTATAGGAAATCACGGCCTCGGACAGCCTCTAAGTAGGATCAGCAGTAACTTATGTCGATGTTACAAACTGCAGCTACTCATAATGTTAAGCTGTGCAGTAAATTATCCATTTTTGACTGAACTACAAAGCCCCTCGTGAAGACTCTATCAGCACATACAGGAAAAGTAAGTGCAAACCCTGTCAGCAGTGTCGTCCTGACAGACAGGCATGGGGAGCATCTTGAAATGCAAATCTTTTCTTCAGCGATACAGCATGTGGGGTGAACTGAGAAAAAAAATTTGTTGCAGGAAGGTTGGAAAAAACCAACAACCGATACATGAATTTCTAGTGCCGACAACAGTCATGCATTTATCACGAGTCGGTATTTTTTGTTTTCCTTAACAGTTCCAGCTTCTGGTGTTAAGTAGTGTGCAAAAATGTAAAGTTTACTTTTCCTTTTTTTACTTCTCCTATCTTTTTTAGGTTCACTGGGGGCCCTACAAACAAATCAAAAGCACAGAGAGTTTATTATTTCTACATTAGATTAATGATTTTTGAATGTTAGGGGTTAGGAAAATAGCGGCAGAGGCTGAACCTTGCAAAGCCTCTTAGAAGCCTTTTTTCTAGCCCCATGGGAATTGCTGGTCTTACCCTGTGACTAACCACAGCCGCTAGATTTTTCCACTGCGGCCACTAACACGGAGAGCGGGAGCTGGTTCCCTGATCTCGCACCTTCCAGTGATGCTGCCTCTTAGAACAGCGATGTCCCTGTTCAAATGCAAAACGCTGGGAAAGCATTACCAGGCATCCTACGGGCACAGCAGCTAAAGCAGAGCAGAGGTTTAGTATGGAAGGAGAAATACAGCCTTGTGCCGGTGGAGGAAGTGAGCAAGGTGGAAAGGGGCTTCCCATGGCTTCACCTCCACACAGGGAATTCTCCTCTGGAGAGGGAGCGTTAGATTAGAAACCGGTCCCATCCTTACAAATATGGCTACCAGGAATCAAGCATATTTTATCTAAATTACAGCGGAATAAACTTCGCGCACATGAAATAATTATTAGCTCTGCTCAATTAAGAATTTAGCCTAGAGAGAGAAAAAAATTTAAATAAAATAGAAGTACTCCTGAGAGAGATACTGCAAAGAATATATACATCCAATTATGTAGCGTTTTAGTGATGTGTGTAATTTAGACTTTAAACTGTGGATATGTTTACAATTGTATACGCAGTAATATACTAAAATACATATTAGTATTTTCAGTTGGGCATCTTCCTAGTGATCATAAACTGTATTTACTTTTCTATGTTTATATACAGAAGAAAGAAGGAAAAAAAAGCCCTCACAAATATTTTCCGACAAATTTATCACTGGGAAAGCCTCAAGCTTTATTTTAAGCTCATTCCAGATTCTGAAAGCAAACCTTTGTGAAATCACATTAGTTTAACAGAAATTTGTAAGTCAGAGAAAGAGAAGCCAAAAGCAATAGTTCGAAGTCTCCTGCTATGTTTTAACTTAGGAAGCCTTCCTGGTTTTCCATCCTCCCAACTCAAGCTATGTCAGTTCTCTCTGGATTTCTGACAGCAGACTCAGAAGTGCTACCGACGGGCATTGCCTTCTCCTGGTTGTGTTTCAAGCCCGCCCTTCCTACAAGTGGGCAGGCAGGACCAGCTGAACCACCCGAAAAGCTCTCTTTGTCTATATTCAAGCTCTACTCTGACTTCCTTAATGAAACCGGCTACAGAAATAGCTCCTCCTTGACGCTCTCTGCAAAACCAAACGGCATTTTCAAAGTAAAGAACAAAACCGTAGCCTCTATAGGGACTGCAAAAAGATGAAGCATAATCTGAAAGAGAAAATTTGCATCAACACACATCTAGTTTATTTTTCATAGGAGAATCACTTAAGGTTCTTCATAGAATAAGAGGAGCAAAAAAAGAGAAGCTGTCGAAATGCTGGACAGGGCAGCATCCGTGCTCTACAAACTCCTGAGGAAAAAGGTCAAGAGAAAAACAACTGTGACGGGCAGAATCAAATTTATTATCCAATACTGTTTAAAACAGGTTTTCTCAGGTGCCCCATATAATTCCTGTTCTTCGTAATTTTCTGGAATTGCTATTGAAATGTTACACCCACCTCAAATCATATACCCTCACTTATATAATAATAGGTAAAAAATACAAGCAAAGAGATCTATTATAAGGGATACTAGAAAGCTCAACTCTGCATGTTAGAAAAATCACACGAATCAAGAAAGATCCTTATAACAGTAACAGCAACATCACTTGAAAGTGATTGTAAATGCTATATAATGTTTAAACATGCAATTAAATTTTACACTACAACTGTCTTGAAAATAACTTATCTTCTCCATTTTT